ACAGCTCATCAGTGTGGCTAGACATCCGGTTGCCTCTAGCTTAGATCGAAACCCGACTGAATTGGTGTCAGTCGGAGATTCTATCGATATATATATATATATATATATATATATATATATATATATATATATATATATAATAAATAAAATTTTTGTTGTTGTTTTTTTAACTTTTCACCCCAAGCAAGGCGGGAGTGCCACAAGGTGTTACAGAGAATAGGAGAGAGAGTAAAGAGGCGTGAAAGAGGAAAGGATGAAGAGAAGGACGCGGAATAGATCAAGGCATCTGGAGATGTCGATTTACATTGCATTTGAATAGTTGGAGATTATAGCTATCAGGGAAGCAAGAAAGAGAAAGGGAATTCCACAGATGGGAAATGCGAGACATGAAGCTATTGAAGTAGAAGAGACGGCTACATTTAACTGTTTCGACAGTGAAAAGATGGGACTGAGATACCAACCTAATAGCAAGTTTAAATTCATGCAGTATGGGAACCAGCGAATGTAGTTCGTCGGAGAAGTTACCGTGAAAGAAAAGACATAAGGAGGCGACGGCACATCTGTGAGAGAGCAACTGTAAGCGAGGTGCCAGACCAGGGCCAACCACCTTGCATATCCGTCTCTGAATTTTGTCGAGGACCCTAAGACGAACAGCGAGGGCTCCAGACTATATATGACAGTAGTATTCCATGCAAGGGCGAATGGTAGATTTCTATATTTGAAGGATGGACTCAGGCGAAAAAAAAACTTTCTGGCGCGACATAGAGAACCAACTTTCCTTGCAGTAGATGAAGCTATTGATTCAATGTAATTGTTCCATCTCAGGTCAGCGGACAGTGTGAGAGCAACCAGTCGCAAAGACGTGTTCTCGTGGAGATGAGCATCAAACATTCTAATGGGAGGCAGGGAGAGTTATCCGTTGTGGGTAATAGAGAGCAGGTATGTTTTTGAGGCATTAATGTTAGCCAGCCATTTCCTGCCCCAGTCAACAACCGATTGGAGGTCCTATTGTCAGAAATACCAGATTTGCTATTTAAGCTGGAGTAAATAGTGGTGTCGTCTGCATAGATGCCTATTTGGGGACTGGTGACATCGGGAAGATCGTTAATGAAGATAAAGAACAGTGTAGGCCCCAAGATAGAGCCTTAGGGAACACCTGCGTTCGTGGAGAAAGAAATTGGAGGAGAATCCGTTAAGGACGACCTTCATCACACCGTTTGACAGGAATGATTGTATTGTCAAATAATCGTCCTGAAATACCGTACCCCTGAAGCTTACGAAGGAGGCCGGCATGCGAAACTCTATCAAACAATTTAGAGGTATCTAGAACCACGGCACGAGCTTCTCCGTTATTGGGATTTGCTTGGTAAACAAATTCAGTTATTGCCGTGAGCACATCAGCTGTAGATCGGACAAAGCGAAACCATATTGCTTGTCAGAGAGCAGATCATGGGATGTAACCACTTCGGCGTTGATTAAAGCTTCAAAGAATTTGCCGAAGAGTGGTAGGAAATTGATACGACGGTAGTTAGATGGATCAGAATGGTCACCAGCATTCTCGAAGACAGATACAACAAATGAAGACTTCCAACAGGATGGAAATCAGGCGTCTGAGGCAGTAGTTGTTTAATTTGGAGAGGACAGGAGCCAGTTCAGGAACACATTTCTTCAGAACAATGGCTGGTATCCCGTCCCCATCGCTCGCCTTATGGGACTCTAATTTAGAGATGATACGCAATACCAGCGATGTCCTTATGTACAACTCGCTCAAGGGAGACTCAGTTCTAGCGGTGGAATCGGGTGTGGGTAAACCGAACTAGTCGAGAGTTGAATCGGAAGAGAATTTACGAGCAAAGCATTCGGCCTTATCGGCTGAGGAAGTTAGGACATCAAATTGGTTGAACAAATGAGTTATTGTGGGTTTGCTGTTGTACAGACAATGTTTACTCTGTTCGGGAAACGGTTTATGTTTAAAAAGTGCTCAATACACAATACACAATTCGAAAAATCGAAATGTGTGTGTGTGTGTGTGTGTGTACATGGTGCGATGGATAAATTGTCATCTAAATTACGCAAAAATGAAAATAACACTCGAACAGGTATATTTACCAAAATTAAAAACAAATATCTTGAAGTACTAAAGAGTAAATTTGTTCAATAAAATCACCATTGGGTTTAACCACAGCAATAATCTGCCATAATCCTTGCCTTCAGTTCATCTTTGGTGTTACAAGGAGTTTTGTTGGTCTCTTGCTTAACACATAATAACAAAGGAGTTTCAAACTGAGGAGGTAGGTGGCCAAGTGTAAGGGGTGATATGGTTGCTGAAATTGTCTGACAGCCCTGACTGGGTTCTCCTGCTTGTGTGGAATGGTGCAGAGTCCAGTTGCCAGTAGCCACCCTCTCGACCCATGGCAGCATTACCTCTTCAATGCCTCCTTGTTGAATCTGAGTCCCTAACCCACAATTTCGAGAGTTCTTTTCCTATCAGAAGGATTAGAGTGAGTTTACCGAGCTGCCGTCCTTCGTATTCGCCATTAGACTCATGCAACTCATCCCGAATCCTCTGCACTGTCCTCAGAATGACACCCAAAGACTCTGAAATGTTCGTATTGGAGCTTCTGGTGCGAATGCCAAGCAGTATAGCATGCCATTTCCAAATTTCTGGCGGAATGAATTGAATCATGATAGTCTTTTTCTCACAGATGGTGCCTAACTGATCCTACTATACTATATAATCAAAAACAAACAACGCGCATGCGCGAAATGAAAAATATCATCTGTCAGCAATTTACCCATCTCTCTCTCTCTCTCTCTCTCTCTATATATATATATATATATATATATATATATATAACTAATGAGCACTGTTTTGTCTATGCCATTTATTAAATAAATAATTTGCTTACCTGTATGTGCACGTAATCGCTCGTATATATGGTTGATCGTATCTCTTTATTTACATCATTACTACATCTCTCTCTTTCTTTTTCACTCTCTCCCTCTCTATCTGTCTCTCTCTCACTCTCACTCTCTCTCTCTCTCTCTCTCTCTCTATATATATATATATATATATATATATATATATATATGATAGTTGTATATTTAGGCAGCAATCCTTCTTTTATGCATGTTTCATTATAAACGACAGACAAGGTACTACGGTTAAGCTTTTTATTTGATTTTTCTTGTGTTCGAACAAGAGCTTTCTTTTCTGGACAAAGAGTGTGTAAGAACTATCCAAATGTTTTATATTTCCGAGAGCTTTTGGCTATACCTTTAGCCATTATCAAGGATGATTCGATTTTTCACCTTAATTGAGTGTGTGCATTATGTGTATGTCTTAGTGTGTGGTAGGGATGTTTTAATTTCCGAATACGGTTAGCACATTGTGGCCTTGTTTGTAGTTAATATTGTTAAGAGTTGTTTTTTTTCTTTTTTATTATTAAAGCATCCACTATTTTTAATCATTTTTTACAGGTGGATGCACGTAATATATTTTCTGTTTTCTACTAGTATGTTTCTAATGGTGAAAGTTCTTGTTCGAACACAAAAAAAATTAAATAAAAATCTTAACCGTAGTACCTTGTCTGTCTTTTTTAATTTTAATGAAATATATATATATATATATATATATATATATATATATATATATATACGTTGACGATTGCGTTTAGCATTTAGCCTCTGAGTGTTGGTATCAATGTTCACTTTTATATTTGCACTTTAACCCATAAATATTGATACCTTAAAATTTATTACACACACACACACAGACACACACACAGACACACACACACACACACACACACACACACACATATATATATATATATATATATATATATATATATATATATATATATATATATATTGTGACGTACGGTGGCCGTTATAATTAAGTATAACCCAAGACTTCAATGTTAAGATAAAACAGTATTTACTTACAACTGCGAATAAAAACTTAACAAGAACAAAAGTAAAAGTCAACAAAAGATAATTTACCATTTCAGTGAATACCTTGTTAATAGCGCGGCTTGGCTTAATGTCTGGTAAATCATAAATCAAAACCCAAATCATCGGCGCACAATAATTCACACTAATTCGACTGGATAGTTTCACTCAATAGTCACTGCACTCAGCAGCCTGACACCGTTATTTATACACCCGGCGGAAAACATCTATTCTTAAGTCCAGAGTGCATATATTTATATATTCTGTTCGCTATACAGATACACGAAATATCCTTAGCCATGGCCAGCGAAAGAAGAACAGATGAAAACTCGAGAATAAAGATGTATTCTGATAATACAATTGACGGAATATTTCATTAAGAATAAAGCAAACGCCACTGTACCGCTGTGTAATATCAATCCTTGTTTATGACAGTGAATGTTAGACAATTTCGATACAGATAATTGACTGATTTTTTTTTACGGCTTATCAACCTTTTTAACGTTATTTAAAGCCGAAACTTATTTTTGTATTGTAAGAATTTTTGGGAGATGATAATAATTTTCTGATAGAAGTCGTGCTATTTAACCCATAGCTAAGAGGAGAAGATACAGATTCATATCATTCCCAAGGGTATTTGCACTTAAGTGAATATTGCGAACTTGACTGGGATTCGAACTTGCCTCTCCGATTTCTCATGCTTACAATATAAAAAAATATTTCATAGCTTTAAATGACCTGCAAAGGGTTGATAAGCCGTAAAAAACGAATGAATCAATGAATTCAGTATTTCCGATAGGTTGATTGATTCGTTTTCTACGGCGTATCAACTCTTTGCAAGTTATTTATGGCTAGAAAATATTTTAGATTGTAAGAATTTTTTATAGAGATAATAATGATTTAGCGATGCAAGCCTTACTAATTAACCCATAGCTGAGGGGAGAAGGGTGGATTAATACATTTCTCAAAAGTATTTAAGCGTAAATGAATATAACGAACACAACTGAAATTGGGACTTTATCCACTACACCACCGGCACATCCAAGCTTACTGCACCTGGTATTCCCAAGCGGTTACCCATCTAGGTACTGACCAGGCTCGACGTTGCTTATCGTCAGTGATCGTACGGAAACCAATGTTTCAACATGATATGGTCGTAACTCTCGATAATGATGCAGAGGAGACTTGAGGCAATATAAATAGTACAATAAGTAATTATTTTATGAATTTTATTTCTTTCCGATGCTGCAATATTTTCAGCAAAACCAAACTCCAGTTTCATTTTTACCTTCATGAAATGTGTTGCGCAGAGATTCTGATCATTTCGACGTCCGTCTACGACAGCATTTTTTCACCAGGTGAAAGAAAACTCTAAACAAAACGAAAATATCACAAACGCATATGTAAACAGAAGCAATCACGCGTGACTAACGTAGGCAATCTGGGCAACATTTCTCGTCACCGTTTTCGAGTCAGTCTTGATTTAGCAACTGCCCTCCTTTCCGCCATTTTATGCGCTCTGATATCTTGTTTATAAGAGACAAAAAAAAAAAATACCAAAAGGCGCGATTATGCTTCTGCCTCAGAAGTTGTGACAGTTTGCATTACATTCGACTCGATGACAGTCAGTGGTTCTACCTTCTCTTAATTCGCCACTCTAGACACACACACACTTTTCGTTAATAATTTCGGTCCTTCTCAACAGATTTTCTTATTCTACTTACTTAACCTTCTTCGGTTACGTAAAGTCTATCGACGTGGAATAATAGAACCAATGAAATACGTTCAAATTCCAACTGAGGTTGTGCGTTACTCCTTTTTATTAATTTTCTTGTGAAATATATACCGTGATTCCCCATGTATAATACGCATTTTTTCTAAAAAAAAAAATAATAATAAGCAAAATCAGGAGTGCGTATTATGCACAGCTACAAAAAATCTTTTAAAAATTGCCGTAAAATAAAATAAGAATTATCATAGAAATAAATTAAAATAATATTATTTTATGTTTAAAATCATTTATTTAAATAAGAGTAGGAAACACTGGCCGTAATGAAATTGGAGAGGTACAATTTATAGGGTTTGATTACAAAACAAGGAGTGCGTATTATGCGTGAGTAGAAGAATTTTCCCACACATTCAGCACAATTATAGTGGTGCGTATTATTTGATGATGGCATATTATACATAGGGAATTTCAGTAAATTCTAGGAACCTTGTGCCTTGTCACAACGCTATAGTTATTCACAAAGCGTAGCTTAGATGTGGCATAAGGCTGAATGTATGGGGCATCCAGTGAAGATCGACCACGAGACCCGGTTTCGAATCACATCATGGTCGATTTGTCACGAAGGTGACCACAGGATGTTATCGGCCTGGGCAGGCGGCGATTCCAGCATGCGGCACCTTTGGAAATTGCATGAAAACCATAGCACTGGTTGACCCAAGACTTGCGAGTGAAATTAGGTAGAAACTATTTAGGAACTGTCGATGACTAGCACTAACAAGTCATCGTGACCGAGGGTTTGAACGTACTAGCCATGCTCAGACTGTTGGTAACGCCAGATAATGCGCTCTCCCCCACAAACTGTAACTAAGGTCCGCTCAGCATAGCTGCAGTATGAACCACAGGTGGGCTCTCTGGGTGATGAACAAACTCAAAATGTACAACAGTAGACAAGGCTGTCTACATTTCTAAGATGAGGTATTATGTACACTATTTACATTATTCGGACTATTGTCCTCATCTTGGTCGCCATATTTATTACAACGTTTCGGCCCTTCAGTATATGTCTATATTTCTGAGATGTGGTATTATGTACACTATTTACATTATTCGGACGATTGTCCGCATCTTTGTTGCCATATTTATTACTACGTTTCGGCCATTGTACGCTCCGGCATTCTTCAGGCGGTTGGAATGTCGAACTGAATCCTTTATTTCGCTCACTGGGGTAAACTGTTCTAGTTCCTCAGGGACTCATGGCACAGTGGAGAAAGGCGTTGGTTAGATCCAGTGATAGGACCCAAAGAGTGTGAGTTCAATACCCGGTTAAGGCAGTGGAGAACTTGGAGAGGGGAATTAACAGGAGATAACTGACAACTGACATCCATTAAACATGGCACGTGGAACTAGAGCAGTCTACCCGAGTGAGCGAAAAGGGTTCAGTTCGACATTCCAACCACCTGAAGAAGGCCGGAGCGTACAACGGCCGAAAAGTTGTAATAAGTATGGCGACGGAGATGAAGACGATAGTCCGAATAATGTAAATAGTGTACATAATATCTCATCTCAGAAATATAGACAGATACTGAAAATCCAAAACGTTTAATCGCTATGGCGACAAAGATGAGGACAGTAGTCCGAATAATGTAAATAGTGTAATAATACCTCATCTCAGAAATATAGACAGATACTGAAAAGGCCGAAACGTTGTAATAAATATGGCGACGAAGATGAGGACAATAGTCCGAATAATATAAATAGTGTACATAATACCTCATCTCAGAAATATAGACAGATACTGAAAAGCCGAAACGTTGTAATAAATATGGCGACGAAGATGAGGACAATTGTCCTAATAGTGTAAATAGAATATATAAGGCATACTCGGATACTAACTCTTCCTTAATTATCCGGACACCTTGTGATAGCTGTTGGAAAAATATATCCGGATAACTGAATAACAAAATTATCGAAAAAGAATTAAATTATCATTTATATCATCTAATAACATTTTAAAACGCTTTATTTAAAGTATTGTGCACTGGTCTCACGTTTCCCTGACGCTAACACTGGAAGCTGGATTAAAGTAGATATATAATCCTTGGCGCGACCAAACTCTGATAATCCAAATAGACGTTCTTTGTATTTAAAGAACAAGGAATTTAAGAAGAATTAATTGAATTCATTCAGCGCCTTTTATCAAACGTTTTGTATGGGTTTCTGAATTCTCAAAATGCTTGTCTGAGATTAAATATTAGAATGGGTTTTGCACAGATAATTAAAAAATGTTAGGCTGATGTTTAATTTTTCTCTTTGCTTCTGTATGGTCATCTATTCACTCGTTAAGTGGTTGACTCACTGTCTTCCTTTGTTTCTTTTGCCTCCAATTTGTCTTTTGAGTGTTAAATTCTCTTGACCCTCTTTCCTTATGATGCGTCCCAGAAGTTTCAACTGGCCTCGCTCTAACCATAATTGTAAGTTTCCTTGTTCCAATTTTCTTTAAAACTTCCTCGTTGTTCACATGCTGTGACTATGGCATTCTCAACCACTTTCGATAGAACCACATGTCTATTGTTCTTCGTCAATGAAAAGCTTCTGTCTATATTTCTGAGATGAGGTATTATGTACATTATTTACATTATTCGGACAATTGTCCTCATCTTTGTTGTCATATTTATTACAACGTTTCGGCCGTTGTACGCTCCGGTCTTCTTCAGGTGGTTGGAATGTCGAACTGAACCCTTTATTTCGCTCACTGGGGTAGACTGCTCTAGTTCCACGTGCCATGTTTAATGGATGTCAGTTATCAGTTATCTGCTGTTAATTCCCCTCTGAAAGTTCTCTACTCCCTTAACCGGGTATTGAACTCACACTCTTTGGGTCCTGTCACTGGATCTAACTAACGCCTTTATCCACTGTGCCATCTGTCCTTGATGAAATTAACAGGAGATAACTGATAACTGATATCCATTAAACATGTGACGTGGAACTAGAACAGTCTACCCCAGTGAGCGAAATGAAGTGTTCAGTTCGACATTCCAACCACCTGAAGAAGGCCGGAGCGTACAACGGCCGAAACGTAGTAATAAATATGGCGACAAAGATGAGGACAATAGTCCAAATAATGTAAATAATGTAAATGAGCAGCTTGTTCAGTATTTACTGCCATATAGTTGATTAGATAAAACATACCATGTTAGCACCTTTCTAACGTAATTTTCCTATTTCTTAATACTTTCCTTAGTTTAAAAAAAACATTTTCCTTTTATTGTTAGTGAACTACCAAACTGGGATCAAAACATGAACATATAAAAATACATTTGAAAAAACTAGCAGCAATACATTTTCACAGTAAAAGAATATAAATTACCAGCAATATTTAAAAAAAAAAAAAACTACAAATGCTTACAAAATAAAATTCCGGCTTAAATGACCCATAAGGATTTGATATGCCGTTAAACAAACAAAACCAAACCTCTTATTTGTTCGTAATAAAAGAAAGAATAAATGTCTTGTCTGACATAGCTTCTACTAATTTGATGTGACCAAGAAAATACGTGCGTGTTATTTGAAAATACGTCATACAGCGTATGGGATGCTTAAATACCTCCATAAATAGGTCTTCAGCGTGTGCGACGCTAAAATAGGTCTCATAAATAGGTCTGCAGACTGACACCACGAGAAATGTCGAAAGGAATATTAATGACAGATCAAAGTAAGTTGACTGCGAGTGGTCTGTTACCGTCTGCTAAAACTCTTGCAAACCAGACATGCGATATTTCATCACTTAGCATCTGTTTTCCCGTCACACTTGAGAAAAAAAAAAAAAAAAAAACTTCAGAACAAGGGGATCTGCATCATCAATGACTTGGCCCCATTGTAAATCGAATAATCCTATCCTGGTGGGTCCCAACGTAACTTTCTCTGTTCACATTCACTGACAATTGCATGACATTTGACCCCAAGAGTTTTATTTATTTATTTTAAAATCCACCCAACTTAATCATAAGAACATGTAATTCATAGCCCTCTTGACTTTGCTTCGGTACAGAATTTAAATTCTAACTACGACGGCCTGATTTCGAGCCCACGTAGACTGAGAGTAAGGGTGATGTTATATCCCAAAAATGAATGAAAATAAAAGACAAGTGTATTTTAACACATAATAAAATAACTTTTATTCATTTACTGTCTGAGAGCAGCAATGATTAGTCTGGATTTAAACCATGAGTTCCACGTGCGTGTCAGCTTCACACCATGTTCGATTCAGATGTGCCGCGCTTCAACTAGCGGACAAAGGACTTAATTCAGTTGTACTTTGAATTTTCATCATTTATAGGGGAAGTAAGTTAGCATTCTCTAACAAGCGATAAGAAAAATAATTCTAAATATCTAAATAGGATTCCCTTTAAAAAATCAGTGAAACCCTAAAA